GTCATGAGGTGCCGGTGGGGAGGAACGGTCTCTCGGAGCTGGATAGCACCCGACGGAATGTCCTTCCCCCCATCTGTAGTTGTATGATGGCTGAGGATGGTACCATCTCTCCAATCTCCTCTCCAACGAGTGACTTCTCCGGCTCCTGAGAGGAGACATCACCATGTCTGCTTCCAGTCGAGCTGGGGGCATAGGCATGGGGGACCTAGCCCTGGGTGGGGAATCCCGAATCTCACCATCGGAGATCGATTCCCTCGGCAGAGCTTGGAGAGGCTCCAATGTAAGCTCTCCTACACGTCAAGGGGACCCAGGAGGGGTAACCCTCATAGCCACCTGAAGAACCGGGCCCAGTGGTGTCGGTACTGCGACAGCCGTAGGGTCCGAAGGGGCCGACGAACCTGAATCTCGGTGCTTGGGGCGCTCAGGGTTCTTCGTCTTCTGAGGGGGCTTCCTGGCCTTGTCTTTTTTAGCCCTCTTGTGATCAGATGGCTTATTGGAGCCAGTGTGCTTCCGTTTCTCATGCTTCTTCTTAGGTGGGGAAGCAGGCCGATCGCCCATGGTGGACGCGCCTTTGTCCGAAGGGCGTGACGGCGGGACCACAGAAGAAGAGGCCGGTGGGACAGATACTAGTGAGTCCAACTGGAGGAGAGCCTGATCCCACAGAAGTCTCCGGAGGCGGTTCTCACGGTTCTTCCTGGCCTGCTTCAAAAAGGCCAGGCAGTGAGAACACTTGTCTGTTCTATGACCTTCCCCCAAGCAGAGAAGGCATAGATCATGCGGGTCAGCAGGAGACATTTTAGACCCGCATTCCACGCACTTGCGGAAAGCTGCTCGTTGCGCCATTGTAGAAAAGGAAAAAAGAGAAGATAGTGCAGCAGGTAATAATATATTTTTTGTTTTGTTTTTTTTTATAGAAAGGAGTGAAGAAGTAAGAAGAACGACAAGAGAAACAAGAAGAACTGGTAAAACAGGAGATAATAAACTTGGAAAGCAGAACAATCGCAAACAAGAGAACAAGAAACGGTCAGAGCGAGAGTGAAAGCGGTACGAGGCACAACGAACGGCAGTCGCAAAGACAGAACAAAATGGCAGATGCTCCGCTCTATATAAGGTATAGGGGAGAGGGGGAGTGGAGCTTCCCGCCAAAACTGTTAGCTATCAATCTTCCGGCCAAAGGCACTGCGCAGGCGCAGTATCCATATGTGTGCTGCACAGAGGCCATGAAGAAGAAGGGGAAATGTACAAATGAAGGACACTGGAAACCTTGAAATCCAAATGATTTCAAAGCAAAAGCACACATTCTTTATTCATCTGACGCTATGACATGTTTTGGTAAGGCATTGAACTGTTTCAGATGGTGCTAGTGTCAACCCTAGAATCTGCTAGCCTTGAAAAACAAAGACTGAACAGAAAGAGAATAATTATTAATAGCTTTTCACTTTGAGTGAAAGGCAATACTATGGCTGTATCACTGAAATCTGATTTTCAAAACCTATATATGATCATCTCTTTAAAATCAGAAATTATCTTGCTAACAAATTTTAACATACAGTACCGTTTGTTTGTTTGTTTGTGCATAGGTTTACATAGGAACGGGGCATCTTTAGGTTTATAGCTGCAGTGAACAAATGCCTGGGAATAAGAGAACAGAGCCTCCAGCAAGCGAACGATCCGGCAGGCCCCTGACAATTGGAGGCCTTGAAGTTTCAGATGCTTGAAGGCAGCAGATTGAAAATGCTTTTAGGGTTGCTTTTACCATTATTTCTGTCTTATTGCATAAGCACACTTGCTGCTCTGAACAGGTGAGGAGCTTCATGATTTATATACACGATAGTGAAACATTTTCTATGTAATGTTTGCCTAAGTAAGTTTTTTTCCTCCATTTTCTGCACCTGTAAGTCAAATGTAAAACTTGTATGGTCTAAAATGTGTAGCACACCAGAGTAAAATCCTTCACAAATGAGCTATCCAGGCTAACAGGCATTCTTAATGTTATTCAGGAAAGTTAAACCAAAAATGGTTTGGCATATGCTCCGAGTCCACATTGTGTGGATGAGCCCCAATTGACAATGTGTAGCCCTTCATGTGTTGTGGCTTACAACTTCCATCAGCCCTAGCCAGGATAGCCAGTGCTGACCTAGCCTGTAAATTTTTGAGACAAGGAAAAAGGTGGAAGTGGAGAAAAAAGTGTGTGTTCTTTTCCCCACCATACATCCCATCACTTCTGATGGCTTTGCGTATATGGCTGTAGACACGATATATTAGTTCTTGTGATTATTTATTCCTGCCCCACTGAAAAGGAGGACAAAGCTTTCATGTATTTTATAAGCCGCCCCGAGGCTTTTTGCGAATGGTCAGCATAGAAATGTTCTAAATAAAATAAAATAATAAAAATAAAAATGTAGTCATTGTCTTATGCCTTTGTGAAATCACATGTCGTGGTGTGTTTTAGAGGTAGAGTGTGCGCATCTGGTCTTCCACCATTTGAAAAAGGCTCTATGAGAATAGGAGCCTGCTCCAGAATTTTTCCAGATAGCAGAATGAAACATTTCACTCCACCAAAATGCCACATTTGATTGCAGAACCTCAAAGTGCTTCTGCAAGTCACTGTACACCCTCATGGCCTCTACTTTTGGGGTGTTCAGATATACTATACCGCCACAGCTCAATCTATACATCCCAACACAGTTTTAATGACAGGCAGTTGGAGATCCATTAGAGATGGTGGTAAAGGTCTATTACAGCCTAGCAGATTAGATTATTCTTAAACATCCCATCTCAATCAATCTGGATGGAATTATTCCCATTCTACTGGGAAAAAATATTGAATATCATTTTCAGTGCATCAGTGTTGGGATGCAGAGTACTAGTGATAGGTTTTTGGATGAATCAGTAAATATTCTTTTACTTGGTTGATATCCATATTGCATTTTCTTTTAACATGGATCAGTTCCCTCAATTTATGTAATCAACTGTCTTTTAAATGCACAAAAATGTTCATTTTTCCTAATATACAGGATTTTGTATCCAACTTCCCACAATAAATCCATGTTTGTAGTCTACTTCATGTGAAGCTTTTGAGCTAAGAAGAGTATTGCACATTTAAAAGATGCTTACAATCCACAGGCTAACAATATTCCAATTCATGTATTAGTGCAGGAAACTTAAAAATGTGAACCAAGAAAAAATGTGAACACTTCCTTAACTAGCAACAGCAGAAAAGGCAGATCAGATGGAGGTTCAAACACAGCTTCCTCACTGCATCAGTGATATGGGAATTCCTGCACAGCTCTGGGCTGTGCTCAAACAACTTTTGCCTGAGGCCTGGGAGGTGGAAACATACACACAGACACATGCTAGAGAGCTCCTTTTTACTAGTGCTAACCTAAAAAGTACTAAGCCCAGAGCCCAGTATGGAAATAGTGTTACCCACACTACTTGCTCTGGTCCTAGCACCACATCTGTCCTACCTCCTAAGTGGCTTTCCAGAACTCCTTGAGCTCTAAGCAGTTTTCTCTCCTCATCCTTCCAAAATATTAGCTATTTAAAAATACCGCTGCCTCGTTTGTGATATTTTAATAATTACAATCTTTTAACATATGATGTCAGGCACCTTGAGTACTTGACTTGAAGTGGAAAGATGAAACAAAACATTTCCACATAAATAGAACCCTATCCCATCCTTTGGATTCAACTCTCAAAAATGGTATGAATCTTTTGACTAAGTTGAAAAGATTTATTAGAATAAATATTTTTATTAACTTTCACTACGGTTTGCAGGGATAGTGCACACATTAATAATGGCCTTGCTGTTTTTCCATCACCTCGTGTTAATTTATTGCAGCAGAGCAGTTGATTGGTGGCTGGTTGGAATCCTAAAGTGGAGTTCAAACTCCAGTTTCCATGCAGCAGTTCTGGAACGATCCAGTTAGGATCAGAGCAACTAGTATGGGTAGAACAAATTGTCACACATGAGTTTGGTCATAATAGGATCTCCTTCCCAATGCACACACCCCTAACTGTCTCCTTCCCTCATTTATTTAGCTGGGATTGCAGTGAGTGGTTCCTGTCAGGAATTATTTTATTCCTCGGACATTGCTATGGGACTAAAACGCAATACCCAGGGATGCTGAGTGCGTGGGAAATGTAGTTCCCATATCTTCTGATACATCAGAAAACTGCTGGGCATATAGACAACAATGCCCATGTTAAAACAGAAGCTATCCTGAATCCTGGTCTCGGGACAGACTGGCCCTAGGTAGTGCAGTGTGAGTCCATTCCTGTCTAGCCTCAGGTTAGAGGATATGAAAGGTTATCAAATGCATGGATGATGTTTGAGAAAATAATCTGAAGCTACTTCCAGTTTGTATGCACATCCACCATTCGAACTAATGTTCCCAATATCATGGATTATTAGGATGTATGTGTGTGTTTGGTATGGCTGTGGGTGTGTGAAGTCAACTATTAATGTTTGGATTCCAGCTTTTATAATTCTTTGAAAATGGAAAATGCTTACATGCAGTGTTGTGGCTGTCATTTGAACAGCAATATCAAAGGAAATTTGATGTCCTGTTTATTCAACATAATATATTGGTTAACATGAATATTAACATTTTTCCTACAACTTTTTCTGCAGCTTGTCAAAATCTACCCTTGACTCCCACAGTCATGTACTTGTAATTAGTGTTAAGAAAATAAAGAGGAAATATCAAACCTCTAATTTAGGTCTTACATCTGAATGTTCCAGTGTGGGTTGGGAACTGTAGTTCCTAAGAGAACTGCAAAAGATCTCAGCACAGTTGGCAAGATTACATCATTTGTGAGTATTAAGCTTCTCTCAAGCAAGAGTTGAAAACATGTGCTATGCAGATTGATTTGAGGTATCTTGAAGGCCAAGGTAAGGTGAAGCTCCACACTGGATCTTTAAATGAGCACTTTGTAAAGAGCTGTCCTAGATGGCAGCACATTCCTGTATGTTTTCTTACCAATGGAAATCTTACCTCCAAGCTTCTGTGAAGTCCTCTTCAGACATACTATTCTTGTGAGAAAGCGATGGGCTCCCATCAGTCCTGTGGAAGTCATTCTGACTGTTTCTGTCAAAGTTCCCACATAAACCTCTGGTGCTATTAAAATCAGTGCTCGGTGCCCGTGCTGTCAAACTCATTCCCCAGTCACTTACATCAGCTCGAACAAATGCTCCTGAATGGAAAGAGATCTGGAAAAGCAGCAGATCTGGTGAGTCGAATACACCAGCAAACACACACTGTTTTTCTACCCATAAAACAGCCCACACACCAAAATAACAGTGCTAGAATGATGAAGCAAAGGTGGCTGAGGAGACAAGTCTTGAACTCCCACCTCCAGGTTTTGCGGCCAGATTTCTACCCCTTGGAAGACCCCAACTGTCCTCGTGCAAAGGGGAGTTGACCTCCATCAGCACATCCTAACCCCCATGACAGTGACTGCTCAGTCCGCTTAGCAAGGAATACCTTGGCATTCCCATCTTACGGAAGTCATCCCATGTTACTGATATAGCTGTTTCCCATGTCAGGCATTTGCCTATTCCAAAAATAAATTAATCCACTAATATACTCACGGTAATTTTTTTCCCTCCATAGGACTTCATGACACTGACATTTAGTGGTGATGAGGCTCTGATGCTTTTAATTATCAGCTGAGGCTTGGTTTCCAGAGGCTTCCTGTTACACATGTCGAGGACAACAATGCTATTATCTTCCCATGCGGCTACGCCACAGGTGCAGGCAACGGAGGGGTGACGGCTGCCACAGTGCCATTGACGCACATGCACCTCAAACGTACGGCTGAGGCTCTTGTACAAAACAAAAGTTCCCACATTGTTGTTATCATAACGCCTAATCAAAAGAACAACGGAAAGGAAGGATTTACAGAATAGTGCGCCTCACTGTTTTGAGTTGCTCATTTTTACTTTTAGCAACACGGCTCCTTAATTAGGCTGGCCTCAGATGGGAAAGAAAATAAACACTTGGTAAGGAATGTGGTTTCATCGACATAAGCAAACTAACACCATTGGAGTTATTAGCTGGGAGTGCATAAGAATTCATGTGAGGAGATTATAACTGTCTAAGAGTAGCTGCTATGGCAACAGGCATGGATAAGAAGGATAAACATTTGATAAAAGTAAATGGGAAAATATCTCTGCCTCCAGGCCTTAATAAATATGTTTTAGTTGTAACTGGATGCTTTACAGCATGGTGTTCTTCAAAGCAAAATCAGCGCTCAAATAACATCTTCTGTGACTAATCACCCCCTTTTACAAGGTTGACTATGGCTAGGTAAATGTTCCATATGAAACATGAGGGCTCCATCAGAATCCGGTTAAACTCAAGGCATATATTTATTCTTTTCTTCAGAACCTCTTTGCTATAAATGTGAGTTTTGCCATTTACCGTGTTTGCAGTTGGCATATATCTGGGCACCAAATAGTCTGCCATTTGTACTCTTTTACCCTGCAAATGAGCATGAATTTTCTGGAGTTTTCTGTGCAACAAATTACATTCCAGCTGGTGATGTGTGCACACACTTATATTCAGCTATGGATGATGTGTGCTGTGGCATTTTCTAGAATCTTAGTACCATGTGGCTCATAGAGGCTTTTGCTGATGGTCAAACAAGATACCTTCAAGGTTGTAGAAAAACAATTGATGCATTAGGATCCTATTTCCCAAGACAGGTCTGTTGAACCTCTTCAGTTCCAAAGACCAAATTTCTTTCCAGTGGTTTCATTTCAGGGGCTGTATTCCTCTACTGGGCAAAATAACAGCAAAATGGGTGGGGCCAACAGATAAAAAAGTCCCAGCATGCTTTAGTTTAAATCTCCTGCTGTTTTAAGCCTTTAGAAAGGCATGTCAAACTTTTGTAGTGGAGGAAGTTCTGTATAAAAGCCTGGAAAACACAAAATGACCAGTGGTTGGGGGAAAGCGATTGAGGTAGCAGAAAGGGATGTGGCCATGCAGAGCAGTGGTTTTCAACCTTTCCTCAGCTGGGGATTGGCAAAACCAGGAAAACCACCTCAGGGACTGCTGAGGCAGAAACAAAAGGCACCATACACATAATATAGTATTCTGTATGTTAGTTTCCCAACACCATACCAAAAAAAAAATGAAAATTCTCCAAAACAACCAGAAACCAAGCACCAAAAGATGCCAACAAATGAAGAAAAGAACCACTGAGCTGTATCTCCCATTCCTGCCCCGCCCCCAGTGGCACCAGCAGTTCCCCCCCGCCACCAAATAAGATGCCAATTGAGGAAGAGGTGGTGGAGCACAGCCAGCCCCCACACCAGTCTGCAGCGAGTGGGATGTGCCCCCCATCCCATGGACTGGGAAATCTGTAGACCAGCACCAGTCCACAGACCAGTGGTTGAAAACCACTGATCTAGAGCATTCCAGGTGACTGAGAGACCTGAGAGCTTGTACCATACAGTGGTATTTCTTCAAAATTTCCATTGAAATTAGCAGGTCTTTTTGGACTAAAACATGCGTAGAATGATTGTTTCCTAGATGTTAACTTTATAGGCTAATGCTATGGACTGCCATGTTGCTACTGAGGATGAGACAAAAGGCCCTACATGATAGTCAAGCAATCATAACTTAACTTGAAGGAAAGGGCTTAACTGAGTAAAATTTCAATCTGCACACACACACACTCTCTCTCCACACACACACACACTCGGCCAACGTTCACAAATATGTATGTCCAAATTTGAAAACTTCACCCATTCAGCATACATTTGTCTTATTTTTCCCTTGTTCATGTTGTTTTGTTTTCCTCCTCTTGTTTTCCTCCTCTAGCTCCTTCCCCAGACTCTGCATTACAGCATTTACTACAAACTCGATTAACAGCATTCTTGATAGTGAATAGAATGCCAAAATACATCATTATAATGAAAGCAAACATTCCATAAATAAATACTCACCATCCATCAAATGTGATGATGTGTGGATCAGTGAAGGAGTAGCAGTTCTCTGTGGGCAGGTCTTGAACCGTGACCTAGTCATAACGAGATGTGTAATGCTGGCTCATAAGTTTGTTGTTATTACTATCACTATTACTACTATTATTATTGTATTTGCAAAACATGATGGGCTACATTTTGTAAAACAAAATCAGTAGGTCCTAGGTTGTGTTTCTTACCATTGTAATTGCAATAAATTGTTCTATAGCCAGGTGTATAAATGTTTTGGCCCCAAGATCGATATTAGGGCTCATACATGAACATGCTCACACATACACATATGCATACAAGCTTATAATCCCACATACCTATTTGTACAGTCTTATGTTCTGACACCTACCCTCATCTACCCACTCATAAATAATTGCATGCAACACTCTTCCTCCCACATATACACATGGTCTTTCTCCCCAGTAAACCCCTGTCTGAAAGATATTCCCTTGCTAGGGCTGTCAAGAGAAATGGTTCTTTTCTCTGTCCCCAGCACTAGCGCTGACAAGGGAACTCTCACGTTTTCTGCTGCTAGCAACTTGTGCAAGAAGAGAAATAACAAGGGTCAGGTCAGGGCTAAGAAAAGTTCCAGAAACTCCATGAGCTACACTGGAGGCAGCCAGGATTACACGTGACTCATGGCATGATTTGTACACAACTGCTATAAGAATAGTCATAAAAGTCATAAAGTGTACTTCCAGGTGAATGTCCAACTATAGATATGTTCTTTAAAGTTAAATGAAATCTCTCTCTCTGTACATCCAAAGAAGTTTACAATCTTGCAAAGCAATGTAACACAATGCAATGCAAAGTGACCCATGTAAATCAAATAATGTGAAATTTAGAATCTTGTAAGGCAAAGTCAGGTTAGGGTTAGGGTCTATTTCTGATCCATGTGATTATTCCATATGTTCATTCTAGAAATGGATACTTGTTCAATAAGAGTTTAACAAACATGACAAGCTCATACAACATGTCTCCTCCATGCTTGGAAAAGCTGTACCTGATGCTTTGTCTGGTGTAGATGGGTGAAAATTTGGTTACAATAGCTTTTTAATATAGATTTATCAAAATTCAGGAAATGTCAGAGCATTTTTTGAGATAGACATAAACTGTGATTTAAAGCAAATGAATATAGGGTAAGAAAGGAAATGACAAATTCATCTTTCCTTGGTGTCATTCAGTTTTTAATGCACATAAAAATTTAGGTTTAAATAAATGATCAGACATGTATTTCTAAAGGCACAACCTTATGCATGTCTGTATCAAAATTCACAAGGACTGAATTCTTGAAGTAAAACTTAAATAATTAGTTCCTTTAAAAAATAGTTCCTTGGTTCATGATACCAATATGAAACTTTTCTCATAGCACATGAGTTGAAAGTCTTGCTAAAATTAAAGGACTTGGTTAAATAGCACCTTAGAAGCATGCAAATCTTTCAACAGCTGACCTTACATTTTATGGTATGTAGTCTACACGATTAAATTACGGAACATGCAGATCTTAACTAATGTATGATCTTGGTTTTATTCTTGTAAGCTTTTAACAAAATCAGATCCATTATATATCAGAACCTTGTTACTGAATGGAATAAATATTCTTACAAGAACAGCTAGTTCTGGCTATAAAGTGACATGAAAGAGGGTTAGATATTGTCCTTGAATCTCAAAGGTACGTGCAAAGTAAAGCAAGGATTTACTACAGTAATCTGTTTGATTTCTTTCAACAACCATTGCAGAATTTTACCTTTTGTGCTAATTATGAACATGTTTACACATATCTTAATCCCATCAAGTTATATGAAACTTATTCCCCTATTTGTTGGAGTATGTTCATGAACTTCAGTATTTAAGCATACTTCAGACATATTTCAGAGTGCCTCCTCAAGGGTGAAATTGAATATGAGGTTTATTTAGCTGGAATTTATTTCTATGATTTTTGTAACAATTGAAAGATTACCTTAACATTTCAGCTTCACAGAAGTCTTTACTACACTGTGGTATTTGGCAGTCTTTATCACTTTTTGATTCTAGATCATCCCATAGGAAAGGGAACCTGGTATCTTCCAGATGATTTGGATTAAGATGTCTGTAATCTAAAACCATTGACAATACTGGCTGAGGTTTACGGAGTTGCAATTCAAAATATCTGCTGGACACCAGCTTACCTACCCCCAGGGACAGGCATTAATCTTGCTGTATATGACTCTTGACAAGATCTCAGTGGCTTCCAACTATGGTTGTTTATATTGCATTTCACTCTGGCATGGCCTTCTTGCAAGATAAAGTTCAAAAAAAGCATAGAATAGATACAGTTTCCGTCTTTCAAATAGGAAGTGAACATTCCTGGCTTAACCAGGCATAGTGGAATATTTGCAGTCTAACTCCATGTTTGTTTATTCTGATCAATAATAATTACTCTTAAGCAAATGATCTTAGCATCAAGCTCTAAAAATTTGCTCTAATTAGAAACCTGTTTATGCTGTGCTTTCTAATAACAGTTGTATATACACGTTTGGAGGTTCTATATTTTTATTACAAACATAGTATGCACTATCTGAGTTTGGCCAGAAAAGTCAGTTACCAATCAAAAAATTAAAGATAACAATATGGGACTTGTTGACACAAGGTGTTTAAGGTGAGTGTATGGTCCCTCACTCATGGACATTTGTGGAGTTTTTTTCATGATGTTGTCACCTCCAGGAACTCTCTTGTCTTTTCCAGACATATTCATGTTTTGTTTTGTGTTATTTTTTTAGAGTAAGGAAAATCTGCTCACAGAACTCAAACCACAACAAACCCTAACAAATGCTTACTGAAAAGTTGCACATCAGTTGTGCCACAGCACCACGTTGTGGTTGGCCAACAGAATATATAGCAAGACAGAGAAATACCAATCCTGGGCAGGAGGATTGTGTAAGGAAGCATTCTTCTTCCAACAGTGAAAGTGGAAGAAGCTTCAGTAAAGCACTGGATTAATATCCTCAAGTAAGAAGCCTGTCTGCTTCTCATCGCAATGCCTGAGAGAATTCTCTAGTTACTTGTTCAACTTACATTGACATCCGTTGGCGTATAATCCTGCCACAATGTTTCGCTTGTTTGGATTGGCTCAGCTCTGATATAGCTGGTGAAGTTTCCATCTTCTGCAAAGTCATTCACTGCTCTTATGCTTAGCGTTGTTCTTGCACAGATACCTTCCTTGCAGGGCATACGTTCCAGATCCACCTGGCAGGTCGAAAGTGCTATGTCTGAGCTCCGCCATACTAGGTTATCTGAAATCGGCATGGACACGTTGGTTAAAGAGATGACTCTGTTGTGAGATCACAAATGTGATTGTTTTTTTAAATATGAAAAAGTCAGATAATTTTTCCATCTACAAAAATAATAGTTGCTATTGTAATAGCCAGGCATGGGCATTTCAAAGTACAGACAAAGCCAATACAGGGGAAAGAAGAAAAATGAGAGCAACAAAGGAAAAGCAAGATCTCATCAATATCTCTGTATTTTAGATTTTATATACCACCATTGCTCTAGATAAAGGCCCCTAAAAACTCATAGTATGAATACAACCAAATAAATGCTAAAACCAAACAACAATAAAAATAAATTCAATACATCAAATCAACCACTAACCAATACACCACCAACTTAAAACAGTGGCATACTGTTTATGTTATATGTTAACTCTGAATAGGAAATAAATACAAATAGAAATAGAAATGAAGTTTTTAAATATACTATATACCTTCAATAAATGTACCTGTAATATACCTTCAATACATTTGTTATTTGGTGACTAAAAAGGCATTGTGTAAGCAGTAATGTCTGAGAAGAGTGCTTACTGTAATGTGGTTTAATGAAAACATTATGAGATGTCTTGATCTTTTGGAAGTGGAGTGGTTTTAAACACATAAACAGAAGCAGACCTGGTCAAAATGGAGATGCTAACATCATAAGCAACCACAGCAACATCCCAGTAACTGTCACCCACTCCAGTGACACATTTACATTTCTTCTTTACATAAACAAACAACAGCCCTGCTGGGCACTGGCCTGATGAGTGTGCTTGAGAATTAGGTTCCTCAGCAGGGGCACTGCAGCAGAAAATCAAGCAAAATCCTCGTCAATATTTTACAGAACTCATTATGGAATGAACTTGGAGAACTCCTTGTGCATTTGTAAATGACATTCTGTTGCTGTGCTTTGCCATTAGTTACACTCTTGGTAGTATGGCTTACCTAGATGTCAAATTGACACTTATATGGGAGGAAGTCCCATTGAATTCTATGACCCTTGCATTCTTATTTTACTAAAGTCTGTAGAAAATATCCAAGTCTTAAATTCAGCGGCCTCAAACATGAACAGATATGATTTACAGAAAACGTAAAAGTCATTTATTATTTGTTCATTAGTTTTGCATCCCGCTTTTCTTCCAATTCTGGAACTCAAGACAATAAAACAACCATAGAAGAAATGCTCACAATACTTCTGCTAAAAATAGCATAAAAGAGCAGTGATGGGGTCACCTATCAGGCAGTCCATGAAGATCCCACTGCCTGAACAAATAAACATTCCTTGGTTTGCTTAAACAATTGGACCATGGGGTGTTGTAATGTCACTTGGCAGGGAATTCCATAGAGGGGGTGCCATGGCAAAGGATTCCCTTTCTCACATCATCACTTTCCTAGCCTCTGCCAGTGGCAGAAGCCACAAAGAAGGCACTCCCTGCAAATGGTAAGGCTTGCCTTGGTTGGGAACTGGAAAGCTGCTCCCTCAAGCATCTAGAGCTGTTGTATTGGCCTCTTCACATGCTACTTCTTGGCACAGATAAACAAAAAAATACATTTCTTGAAATTAAACCTGTAGCTCATCCTACAGCTGAGGAGCCAGCAGGATCTCAAAGGCTTTGCTTGGCATAAAGCTCTTCTGGGCTCTTACTGGCAGGGTGGGAATAATGGCAGAGGCAATTTCTGCCCCTTCAGCCTCAAAAAGCTTACTCTGGTTCTTTGTCAGGGACATGGCTGGAGGCTGCAGCATTGGGCTCTTTGGGATCCTCAGCCATGCGCTCCCCACTCCCTGGCATACCCCCAAACGCCCATTTTTCCATTCAGAGAGGTCCGAGTTCTCACCTTACATAGGAAGCCATTGTAAAAACCCAACTTTTGGCTGGAATCAGGAGATGACCTGAAGCTCCAAGGTTAGAACTTCAAGATCTCTTATCAAAGAACTTGGAGGGGTTATTCTATACAAGACAATAATGCCTAGGCTGATGACTAGGGACAACAGAGTTATTCGTTGGTTATTCTGGACACAAGAAGTGACATCTATTACACCAGTACATCTCTTATTTATTATGATGTTATGGAGCGATTACCCTAATGACCAAAAAAAATCTGTCAGTGCCAGATGTTTAGGTTTGGGGTTCAAAGGTGAACAATTAATATACATTCCCCCTTTTTCCTTATAAATCTATATTTAACATTCTGATTTGACAAATAAGAAACAAGCTTTTTGAAGGAGTGACTTGCCAGCATGTCCATCTATGGCTGTATGGAGGTTTCTGAATCCACTGTTCCATTTTCATGCCCACCTCTCTCTCAACAGAACCACACAGCCTTGCTTATATACACAGACATGCATATAAGGGTTAGCCACCCAAAACAACATGTTACTTCTTCAGTCTAAAGAGCAGAAGCACAAGCTTTGAGCACTTTTTTGGTCATTCCTTTGGTTTTATAGTCTTTCAAAGCCTATTAGCAGGAGTAAATGATATCAGATTCTTCTATGCGTTTAGAGTCATTACAGCGATTTCAGGAAAAGTCAGCACATGTGCCCGATCAAATGCTCAGTGACATAAAACTCCTACCAGAATCTCCAGTACTCAGCTGCAAAGTAATTTTACAGATGTCATCCTGGCCCAGACAGGTAATAGGGATGGTACTTAGTATTGTCAAAATATGCTCCTTGCCATCCTCAGCAATTTGTAAGGACTCAGGCACAAACTGAAAATAAAGACAGATAATCAGTCTTAGGCTACATTCTTTTATGCCCTGACTTGTTTTGATGCAAGTGGTCACCAATTTAAGGCTGAAATGCATTTTCAGTTTTTGCTATTTAGAAGGAGGGTGCAGTTCCCATGCTTTGAAACTGTGAACAGAAGCCCAAAGGCGCATGGGGAAGAGAAAGTTTTCTGAAGATGCTATTCACAGTCTCTAGGCAGATACACAGTGGTAAGGAGCCTCAAAGGAGAGAATAACAGAGCAAAAAGTAGCCCAATATGGTTAAATGTGCTTGATTAATTAAATATTAATACACAAAACATTTTAATTAAAAATCAGCCCCAATGCTTGTCCATTATTATTACTGGATTTGAGAAAACAGACACATGTGCAAAATTTCTTTTGAAAACTCAAATATTTGTTATTGTAGCTCACTGGGGAAACCTACTGGGGAAATCTAGCATCAAGAGAGGAAGTAATTGCAAGATAAGTGAGAACATCACAGTCCAAGATTATTCAAGTCCCAAGATTGCATAAGCCCAACCACTCATATAGGCTTCTGCTCCCAAGTGAGGCTGCCAATGTGAACAGTTCACTCACATGGCCTGCTTAGGCTGAGGTTTTCTGGTCTTGCCTCCTAAAATGGTAGTACACAACCGTGATCTCAGTGGCTTTGCAGCCATAGCCAAGAAAAGTGATGGCGAACCTTTGAGAGACCAAGTGCCCAAACTGCAACCCAAAGGCCACTTATTTATCAGAAACTGCCAACACTACAATAAAACCTGAACAATGAGGTTTTAGTTTAGGGGAAAAAACCTCACAGTCAGTCCAAGCAAATACAGCACACTGACTGGCCATGTGAAAGCTTGGATGAGTCGCGGCTAGTGAGTTACAGCTCGTGACATCATCGCCTGGCGCCGCTACTCCTTTCTGAGCATGTGCATGGCCCCTATGTGTGTGTTATCCGATGCACAACTGCTGGGACAATGCTGGGGCGACTTGGCTCGCATGCCGACAGAGAGGGCTCTGCGTGCCCGCTGTGGCATGTGTGCCATAGGTTTGTCACCACTGGTCTACAACAAGTTTCCAACAAAAACTGATCTGGGGCAACAGAAGTAAGTGCCCATGCAGAGTCTAGAGTTTGAAGAACAAAAAGACCCTAGGACCAAACTTAAATAAATAAATAAATTATTTAAATTATCCAATGAACCATTTCTTTAAAACCCACCCATGGCCAACACATAGTTCCTCCTGCCCATCTCAAATTCATTCATATCATTTCTAAGGGGGAAGTAGAGTTGTAGCACCACAGCCAGCCAGCATTGCGTAATCCTTAAAGTGCGGGGACTGAGACTCTGGGGTCTGAATTCCAGTATCCTCTTAAGTTTCAATGGGTTACTTTGTGCCAGTCAGTGACTATCAGCCTAACCAACTGCAGAAGGCTATTGTGAGGATAAACATGTAGAGAGAGAGGGTTCTGTAAGTCACTGAGGGTTCTTCAGATGCAGGATATAAATAGAATAAAAAATACATAGTGGCCAAGTATGTAATGTGCTTCTTTTTGCTCTCGATGGTGATACAATTCCCATTTTCCTCCATATATATGGATATATACGGCAAACTAGAGATGAGGGTCCTAGACTTCCTAAAGTTTTCTGCTCCTGGAATAAAATATGCTCTTCTCTCTTCTTTTTTATATGAAACCTTATCTAGCAAAGCAGAGCTCTGAAACCATACCCTCACGTTTGTTGTGGGAAATTTCCTACTGGAAATTTAACTTGCGGTAGGCAAACATTGCAAGGGAAAAAAAAGATGACTTGTTTGCACTTGTTATACCACACTGGCAGCACCAGAGCTTCCATCGAGTTGCTTCTACTGTAGCACTATGCTTGACAGGCAAAGCAACCTGTGACCCAAGCCTGTAATGCTTCATATTGGTAGATAAATATGATAGACTGGGAATTTTGCAAGAATGGAATAGAGAAATGGATCGTCTCATTTTGCTTGGTCAGTGACTGAGACTTTGACATCTCTGCCTGTTAAATTATGGATCTTAAGCAACATCATATATATCTACTAGAAACCACAAAATATTTTTAAAAACAGATCGTCCAATTCAGTTAGTACAGTGCAGCTAATGTTCCTTCTCAGTGTATGTTTTGGCAATGCCCAGTAGTTTCATTTCGGGAGGATGTTATTATACAGATAAATTTTGTACAGAAACAGTCTTTAATGTTTGCTGATATACATGCTCTTTTAAATTATTTATCTGCCTCGTGGAGATAAGTGAGTGGTGAAAGGAAATGTATTGTCTATCCCTTTGGACAGCTAAAGGATTGATATTGCAATACTGGAAGGATAAATGCGCACCTTCTGTAATACAATGGACTGAGGACCTTGCAATAATTGAATTGGTGGCATTTGGATATCTGGTCCACTTCAGTTGAAGCCCATGTATAATTCCTAGTTGTATTTTCACATATATGCATTTCATATGCATTCATTGGTGTATGTATATATACAAATCCATGTAAGCAAATAAAAAAGCTAAAAGGAAAAAAGAACAAAATGCTTTGGCTTGGGCAATGTGTTCAAGAGGTTTTGCTGTTGTCTTTTTATGTTCTGTCTTCCCTCTTATTGCTAGGAGGGCGAGCTAACTAGATCTTGGATCACTGCCACTGAAAGATAAGGCAAAATTGCTATTTTTGTGACTCACTGAGATTTCTGCTTCACTCTCCACCATTCTGCCAAATTAGCTACTCTAATTGCTTATTAAGTAGACATTGTCTTAATTTCCAAATGTTACCTTTTTCTTTTGAACATCGTCAGTAATTACAAAATCATTTTCAGGTATAGTTGGGTAATTGTTTCCTATTTCTGATGCAGAAGAAAAAAGACCTTTTGAAAAATCCTAATAAGTAACAGCATGGAATCGATTTGTTCAGTGCAGTGCAGTGCAGAGTTACTCGTGGAAAAAAAGTTAATTAGAATGTGCTGAGGTGTATATTAGCATAATTAGCTGGGCACGTGGCTTGCACATTATTCCACTTCATGTGTGCAAGTGAAAGGAAAATGCAGTGATGTGAATACATGATCCTTGTACTGGGTCTAACCATCACTTGGTTCATCTGGCTCAATATTACCTACTCTACTGGTGGTGGCAGTCCAGAGTCCCAGGCAAGGTTGATATCCTAGTCCTGCTACCTGAGACCCTCTGACTGGGGATGCTCAAGCAGGGAAGAAGAAAAACATGTCCCTACAGATGTTGTTGGGCTGCAGCTCTTATAATTCCCGATCATTGGTCATGCTTTTCAGGCTTGGTGGGAGGTAGAGTACAGGACCATTTGGAGGGCCAGTTGTTCTCCACCTCTGTGCATGAGACCAATCAGAGCCTGTATTCCCGCCCTGAATAATGGCCCCTCCTCAGGTTCCTCAGTTCTCCTCCATGTTGTGACAAAGAAAGAATAATACATGACTAGGTTAGATTATCAGTGAATTAACATTATCTTCCCAGTGGTATAACTATAGTACAGATTACTGCACCCTGTGTGGGTTTTAGCAGGAAAAAAAATTAAACAGCTCTCCAAAGTCTATCAGTGTTTGCCACTCTGCCCCACCTGCTCCTTTGAAGGAAAAGTAGGTCTTCCTTCCATTCTTACTCTAAAGTAAGAGCAAGGTGTCCTGTCTGGATTGGGATCTTAACATGGAAGCAGGGGGATTTAACCTTTTACTCTCCACTGTGCCCTCGGGACCTTTGTGCTTTGTGCTAGAGTTAAACAAGGAAGAGAGATGCAGGTGTTAGCGACCCCTTCAGAGTAATGCACATCTTGCCCCTGCGTAATAACTTCCTCCCTCTGAACCAAGTGAAACAGTACACTGGGGAAGAATCAGGGTGGATCCAGTGCTTGCTTTTGCATCTTCACTTGCTGACAGTCATGCTGGCGTGGGTGTGGCGAGGACATGATGGAAATCCCAAAGGAATGGATGGCCCAATATGGGCCAGGAGGGTCCAGAGTTTTCCCCAGTGCAGTGGTCTCAGCAGTCCATTGTGTCCTATCAGGAGTGTGGGAATGGGAAATGAGTTTTCAAAAGCTAATACACCCAAGTAAATAATGCCCAGGAGTGTGGTTTTGCTGTTAGGTTTCTAATCAAAGGCATTATGTATGAGCCACAGTGAGGCCTATAATGCATAACAATTATCCCATAAATAATAATGGTGGACTTAGTATGCATGTCCTTTGTTTTTATAGGTTTCGCTTTTGAAAACTAATCTGTACTTCAACTTCCATAATGAGAGGGTAGTTTTTTTGCTCAGTTATTTATACTGCATTCCAAAATAAGTGAATGTGTGGGAGAAAGAAAAGCTCTCCTATTAAATCCCTGCTCCCAAATGGACAGTTGAGGTCAGGACATGTTTTAGCCTACTAAAATTTTCCATTAACATAATGGGAGGCTTGCCCCCTTTTCCTGAGAAAGGCAGGTTGCACCTTTCAGAAAATGCAAAGGCTCTAGATCAGGCTAATCACACCAGGGTTTTCAAAAGATTGTCCATTTAAAGACCTAACAACTTCCATTGTGCATGATGGGTGTGACGCATCTGCCACTGGAGAGACATTATGTCTGAATAATGCACAGAGCTGTGTATCTGCCTTAAGTCTGCCCGTAACTATTCTTCGCAAGGTGAATGAACGTGCAACACTTTCATAATGCATTTTCCAGCACCTTGATGTTAATGCTGTTAGTGCTTTTAGAATGCCTGATAGATTGATGCATAGAACTACAGGCAATTTATTGAGACATATTCTCCTTGGGCCCCTGGAAGCACCCTGTTTATAATCACCAAAGCCAATTTTACGATGTGTTGTCTTGTGGAGCAAGGTGGTTAATAAAGAAATCTCCATCAAGGATATGCTAGAGAAGTTTGTTAAATGAGGTGTTTTGTTGTTACCTTAATCCCAGCATAGAATCCATCGCTTTCTTCAGCAAAAGTCTGGTGATCAGGT